TAATTACATTATCTGATTAATACAATAGCTTCTATTCCAATATTATAATTTATTATAATTACATTATCTGATTAATACAATAGCTTCTATTCCAATATTATAATTTATTATAATTACATTATCTGATTAATACAATAGCTTCTATTCCAATATTATAATTTATTATAATTACATTATCTGATTAATACAATAGCTTCTATTAACATTTCGATGCCAAACGTCCTTTTTATTTCCGATTTTGAAACAATATCAATATTCCCAGACACAGGTATTATTGAAATAAGAAAAATTAACCATTTTAAGATATTGTATTGATATTTTTTATGCATGGCGTAAAGTTATGATGTTTCTGGGTCTTCAAAGCATCTGTAAGGTGACGTAAGGGTACAAGAGACTTAACAATTCATCAAAAGCGCGAACTCAAGAGAGCCTAGATAACTTTAGAACCGATAAAACATTAATGAAGATGATTTCAGGAAACAGTTAATTATAATTACGAAACTTTCTAAAAGCACACTCAAATGTTGTTTACAAAAACACACTATTTGCTACTTATTTTACTCTTCTAAAACTATAACATACTGAAGGCAGTTTAATAGAATTAATGACGGTTACCTAAATAAGTAACTTTTACAGTATAAGTTGTAATCAATATGAGGGATGATAAAGATGGTTTTATATTCTGAAGCTTGAATGTATTTAGTTTTGTAGCAGCTATTACTAAAAGCGCGAATTGTGGTAGAATGTTTGTATCATATTAATTAACAACTTTAGAAGCACTAGAAATTTCTGTTTTGGATCGGTAAAGTGTTTGTTCTATATTGTGTTCATTTGGTATAGTAATATCTTACTGAAATAGTCGTGATTTGTAAACACAGGCTGTTGCAACTTCAGTACAGATGATATTCAAAAAGCAAGTTTCGAAATATTATTAGTAAAAATATGATTTTAATTTATGATAAAAAGCGAACAGAGAAAGTATTTTGTGGTTACGTAAACTAGAATAACGTGAGCATAAGTATCGAAGGGCTTGTCAATCTGCTGCCAATTATAATATACAATAAAGACTGTAATTAGCCCAGATTTCTCTGGCTTAAGGTTATTTAGAAACATCTAATGGTGTCTTGGCAATAAACATAGCTATCATTGACTTATTTCAGTAATGTTGTAATTAAATAAAAGAATTAGACACCTAAGGCAGTTATTGGAAGTTGCCAGTCAATTAATCAACAAAGTAACTAATAACATTTTGATGTTCTGAGTTAAACAAATTTCACTGTCAGGCTCTAGGGTGGCCACTTTACTGTGAGCTAGCTCCGATTGGTGAAGATTGAACTGTACCTCCTGCTCTTATATAAACAGCATCTGCGCAGTCTATGCTGAAACAGCATATCCTCCATCGTAAGTCATCGTCTACGGCATCGACATTCCAGGTACGTTATATATTATTGTAAAACTAGCTACAAACGTTTGTATACCTCTTGTAACTAAGATGGACTTCCTTTAATGTTAAACATATTCTGGTTAATATTATTTTATACACAGGGCGCTGGGAAACAAAATTTGTCCATGTGTGAAAACAGCTGTTTATACCATTTCCGAATTTGTACAGATAATTTCTATTTTAATATGTGTTACGTATGTTTCTGAAACCGACGTCGACTGCAATATGAATAATTTGATATAACAAATGTGCTTTCAAATAATCCCACAGCATACACTGTACACGGTCACACAATTGAGCCAAAAGCTGAAAGAAAATGCAGAACTGATTACCATTTAGTGCAACCATTTTGTTTCGGAATGACACTAGATCTCACAAGTTGTTTCAAATGCCGACAATATTAACTTTTTAAGGCTGGGCAGTTGAAGTAATATTATATTCAAATACGATTAAAATAACTTAATTATACAAATTCTAAGGGCGTGGTGAGACAAAAATAATGATTTCAAATAGATATTATCAACCTTACGTCAATCGACTTGTGGATAGAAACCCCGAAAATTTATTAGTTATTTTTTAGTAAGCAAATCTGCTTATCAAGAATAGCAACTTAAAAATGTTATCAGTTAGTTTCTAATTGTAGCTTCCAATAAAAGCAGCATCTTGGTCAATCATACAAGAACTTAAAGCTAGTCTAGAACATAATTTAAACGATGCTTCTTTCCAAATCTAATTAGTACATATTCTAATGGGTGTTTTCGAGCTCTCTGTTTTACGTCAGGGTACAGGTTCGTGCGCGAAGTGACGACAATTTGTCTGCTCTGTAACATGCTACCAACCTTCTAGTTGTTTTCTTGTTTTTCAGATATTGAAGAGCCATCTGCGCTAGCCGTCCTCAATTTTGATCTGATAAATAACTAGTAGTATTTGACCATCATCCTTATAACGCACTTATGGACCCAATGTTCAGAGCGCGACTTTTTTTTTGTAGTAACGAGGGGCGAACCATGTATCTGCAGATTCATAGTCCGGTATGCTAACCACTTGGCCACGCTCGGCTTCACACTCTAGGCGAACGCTTTATATATATATTTATTACATTAAACTATGTCAGAGTAATTCCTGTTGGCCAATTTGCACTATTTAAAGTTACAATACATTTATAATATTTTAAGCTCAAGGTCTAAATGTACAGTTATGTATATTCTACCCGTTAGCTCTGTAGTTAACTTGCTTGCTTATAATGATAAAATTCTGGGTTCGATTACTAAGGTATATAGGGACAGGCGAGGTAGTCCACTATGTACTTTAAGTTTAAAACAAGCAAAAGTTCTAAATATTATTTTAATTGAACAAACTAGTAGCTACGTGATTTGAAAGTTAACTGAGGTACTTTACCTTAGAAAAAATGTTTGATATTTTTTGTTTTCTGCATTTAATTATGTATTTTGATACAGCTAGTTTGATGGCAATTTATATAGAAAGTCTGTTCAGGAAAAAAGAAATATTTATTTTGCTTGCACTACAATGAAAACTTCTGTCAGTGAACATGTCTAAATTTATTATTTTACTTTACCCACGTAAATATATATGATTCATATAAAACTATATGCTATTCATAAGGTAATATATTAAAAATAAGTTTAGATTTAGACTTATATGTAGCAATAGTTAATACAATATATCGATTTAGTTCCAAATCGGTTTAAAACTATGGTAAGTTGTGATGAAACTTAATGCTCTGTAATCTAACATCAACTAAACGACCATTTTGACAACAAATCGAAATTATTATTGCAAGTATTCTTACAACATATTTGTTGCTCGGTGACATCTGTGGTCGAGCTAATTTCATACACCTCGGAATGGTCATTCTAAACAGTTTTCCGTTTTTTACAAACAATAATTGAATAAAATTCCAAGAGTTTTATTAAATTATCGTTGTCTTCTTATGTATGTAGGTGATTAACAGTTTGGTTTAGTCATGTATCAACTCCTACTGGACAAAGTGTCCATTGTTTCTTTTTTCTTTCTTGATGAAATATTCTTTATCGAGCATTGCTTTATGAAAATTATTAAGGTAACTTTTTTTTTACTAACATTCCTGTAATTTCCAAAATTGATCACGGTTTGTTGTCATCTGTTATAACGTTAATAATCACAATTTTTGGAGCTGAACTCATGTTTATAGTAAATATGTAAACTGTGACAAAATGACACTGTACTGAAGGTTGAACTCGTATAAATGCCTAAGAAAGACAAACATTAAAGTATTTACAAAACCAGAAATCATGCCACTGTAGTATTGCAGTTAAAAAGTAGTTTAACTATCTGATACTTACTTCAACGAAACCAATAAGTGATGTATTTTAATATAGGCTAAAGAGCTTTCTTGGACGTGACGTTCAATATATTAGTTTAACTTCAGTAGAAAAAAAATGTCCTAAAAGTGTTCAGAGGAAATCTGAAGGTATCTTGGAACGCGTCAAAAAGAAAAAACAGTGTAATATCCATAGTTATCCTCACAATAAAACACGAAAATGCAACTAGTCCCACACGTACACACTGGATTAAGACTCTAATATTATAGAGGTAATTGTCCTATACATCAAGTCTGCCTTAAGATCTGTACGAATATCACACTTAAGCAATGAACAGGAGCATTTGGTTGTAATTAAGCACAAAACTACACATCTGTGCTAATCTGTGCTCTGCCCACCACAAGTATTGAAACCCGGTTTCTAGCATTGTAAGTCCACAGACATATCGCTGTGCCACTAGGGGACCAGGAGGACTTGAAATTCTTCTTTGTAAACCAAATGTGAACTATACGTTTGTTTAACACAGGTGTGTTAACTTTAACACTTCCTAGTACATAAATAGCTTTACTGGTACTTGGAAAGATTATTATATAAATATTATATATAATGAAGAGCATTTCTTGTGTATAAATGAAGTAATATTGTTTATTCTATGTTCTAAAAACTACATATATCTTTCCCTCAATCACTATAGAGTTTAAATTGTTTGCAGGTTGTTAAATACTGAACTAAATGATACGATTTGACGATCTCGGTATGTACATGGGCGCCCGCAGGAGAGGACAATAGGGGTATTTGCCCTCCCCCCGATATTTCACAAAAAATTGCACGTATTATGATGTGAAGTTAACATCGTAGTTAAACTAAATATTTTTAATAAATGTTATTAAAACTGTAAACTTGTGTTTAAGCACACATAACTGTAAAGCGGATCGCCTACTTACATGTTTTGCCCTCCGTGAAAATATTTCTATGGCCGCCCATGGGTATGTATAGGTTCAAGCGTGCTGATAATTCCCCTTGCGATCTTTCATGCAATACAGGAGGAAAGGTATAAGAGGTGATTCTTTAGAGAAGTAGATTACCATTTAGTAAACGAGCGCTTCAATCTTCTTTCACATAAATATGTTTTTCGTAATACTCCTCTGTGAACTTCTGAAAGATTATAGTCGTTAAAGAGAAGTTAAGGTAACTGTTCCAAACCGCTTTTAAAAACCATTTGGAAGTTTGGACAATTCGAACTACTTTTTCAGACTGACAAAGTTTTGGGTAAACATGTTTTTGTAATACATTAAAGTAAATTTTCCCGACACCAATAATTATTGGCTAATTCGTGTGAGGTTGATCTGAGCTTGATTGCATTCTTCATGAAATGTTAGCTAGAACTAGATTAAATCCATCTATTCACATATTAATAATTATTTTTAAAAGAGATTTAAATTATAAATTTGTATAATATCCACCTATTAATGTTTAAGGTCTAATAACAGTATTATTGTGAATCGAAATATTTAATAGCTTATCATATGGTAAAACAAGTTCAGGATTTTACAAAACATCAATAAAATAACGTAAGTACAGTTATAAAAGTACACAGTTTGTTTGGAATTAAACACAAAGCTACACAATGGGCTATCTGTGCTCTGCCCACCACGGGTATCGAAACCCGGTTTTTAGCGTTGTAAGTCCGCAGACATACCGCTGTGCCACTGGGGGGCACTTATACAGTTATGTATAAGTTACAAACTTATACATAAGAATGTAAATTAATTCTCTATAGATACAGAAGTTGCACAAAAGATTAGAGACGTCCAGTGCAAGTGGTTTGATAATCTGTGATTCCAACTTGGCTGTTAGAGCTGCTTCGGTCATTTATACTGTGGCATCTGCAAGTTCCTGAAAGGTGTGATGAGGAATTATCTTCCATTTCTTAAGGACAAAATTTGGCACAAAGCTTGGTGGTCTCATTCACTCGTGATGATCTTCCAACCACTGGAACCTTTACCCGATGAAACATATCGCCGTGCTGTAATAATCTTTGATACCAATCTTCTAGTAAAGCCAAAATGTTGTGCAGTTTGGGTGAAGAAAGCACTTATTGATCGGGCACCTATAAACTGTCCTCTTTGAAAGTTAGTTAAGTCACACTTCTTTCTATCTTTGCTTGATAACTAACATGGAATAGAGCTTACACATGTTTAACTAATACATATCACCTGTCTAAGATGTTATTGATATGATAAGTGCATCAGTTAGCTCAGGATCTAGTCCATTTAACATCTGGAGAAGAATAAGTACGTCATTAAGAAAATTTTTCTATGTTTTGGTCCAACTTCTGAAGGTTTTTTGCTTACATCAACCTTCCAATAAAACTTCCTAAAGATCTTGTTCATTAGAATTCTTGAAAGTCAGATTTTAGCATTAGTAGTCTTTATGGACTATTCCTGTTTTGGTTCTTTTAATGACGAAGTTTTGAACTCTCAACCAAGTCTTTAGTTTGCTCATATTTGCTTTTAGTGGGTGACTTGAACGCTTATTCTGAGTCTTTGGATTATTTTTCTTCCAGCTCTTGTAATAATGATGTTTAAAGTTTTATGCCGAGTCACTGAATAGCTCCTGTCATATTCTGAGGCAGTGAATTTCTTCTGCTTTGAATCTTCTGCTGGAT